AGGATATAAGGGTTTATCTGGGGCTTGAGGTCATTTATGTGATATGTGAAAGGTATGGTATTATGTGGTACATTCATAGGAAGAAAAATTACTCTAAGTTTTTATTTAAATAGTTAATAGGTAATTGCTAGGCTCTTTCCACTTTGCTGTGTTTTAAGCAGAGTCATGGAATTAGAGACAAAAGCAGGTCATGCAAAATGGTTCTATGTCTAGAATCATGGCACTATAATTCAAATTGGAATATTGCCTTAATAATTTCCCCTTTAGTTTCATGCATAGTGAGTCTAGGGGCTAATGTCATATATTTAGAAAGATTTTTATTTTAGCACATAATTGAAAACCATTTTACAGTGGAATGAGATATTATGCAACTACATTTGTGTAAGAACTCCTTATGTTGAAAAAATAATAAGGAAGTTGAAAGAAGATGGCGAGGAGGTGACAGATTTGTTGGCTTAAACTGAAAGTAGACCGGCAGTTTCACTGCTTTCACTACCCCTCTACCCCCACCTAACTGAGTCATCACTCACTTCTAGTCTGAACTCATTTTATGGAAAAGGAAATTAGTTGCTAAAGATGAAGTTAAACATCCCGGATTACTCCTGAAAACTGGTATTTTCATGTCTTATATCTATAAACATTATACATATATTTTAAAGTAAAATGAGCTGAAATGTTTATATTTTGAGATAGAATTCTGGTTTTCTGCTTCTGCAAACAGTTGTAGCTATTATTTGCTGAATCATATGACAATACAGAAACTCCTAAGTACAACATTCAGAGAAAATAAATATTGAAGCTTTCCAAAATATTTTTGGATGTCTTGCATTTAAGAACTCTCCTATCCTGAAAAAATTAAGTATCTCTTTAAAATTTGCTTTTTCTAGTACTCATTGTGTTTTACTCTCTCAATTCATGTTCTCTTGGGCTACTCTTCTATAGAGATTCTCTGAATCACCTAAACATTTTCATTTGGAGTTTCGGAAAAATCCTTTGGTCTACAGGTAAATAGATTCAACTAAAATCAGATCAGTAGTGTCTATTAACTTGTAGAGTTCAGTTCTGAAAATTGTAAGAATTTAGTTTTTCTTATAAGAAAAAAAGCTTAATGGATTACAAAGATGTGGTATACATACACCCACTATCAAAAAACAGAAAACTTGCCATTTGTAGCAATGTGGATGGAGCTAGAAAGGATAATAATAGTAATTGAAATCAGACAGAAAGAGAAATGTAAATAGTGGATGGTGTCACATATGTGGAATAGAGAAAAACAAAAAAAGGGTCAGATGAAACCAACTGAAAAACTAACCTGTGATACCTAATTGTGGAGGGGGCAAGAATTAGGGGGAGAGGAGAGAGAAGGGAGGATGCGGACACAGAAGGACAGAGCAGGAGGGTCCATGGTGGTGGGTGCGTTGCTTAGAGTGAACTCCTACACTTCTGTAATGGAAACAAGGAGGTAAAACTATATTAACTCAACAAGAGCATTTAAATTAAAAATAACAATACTTTTACCAACTTAGGAGAGATTTACCTGTGATTAAAGGCAATAAAGAAAAGATGTCACACTTTCAAATGTACAAATGTGATCACAAGTAGGGTTGATTTTATGATGTATTCAATCATCAAGTCATTGCTGATGTACCTACTATGTTGTGCTAGGCAGAGAGTAAAGAGGTCAGGGAGGATTGAGTGATGAAAAAATTAAATCAGTTACAGGAAGGAAACGAGGCACAGTTAGAATAACTATGTAATGAGGACAAAGTCTCTCTTAGTCCACACTTGACAAGTGGGGAGGCCACCTCTTGGAGAGCAGGGGGATAATGGTCTCAGCAGAGAGAACAGTGTCTAGATTACTCCAGACAGAAACCTTGGTGTGGGTTAGAAACTCACTGGAGGCTGCATGATGGTTGGCAGTGGAATAGAGGGTTGGGGTGTTGTGGAGGTGGGGTGGGGGTGGAGATCTGGCTTATCCCCCAAAACTTTGGCACTGAATGGTTTAGTGTGCTCCCAGCACACTGGGAAGCTCTTGAAGAGTTTTCAGCAGTGAATGAGATGACTAGATTTACACTTTATAACAGTTAGACAGAGGTGGGTAGGACGAGAGGAGGGGGAAACAATTGGAGGTATTGGAGGGAAGCAAAGATATCATGTGGGGGTGGGGTAGCAGGGGTCTGTCTCAAGATAGGTTTTGGAAACAGAACTGGCAAAACTCTCTATTGTATTTTCAATAGGAAAGTAAAGGTAAAAATTGTCTGCAGGGACTTAACAGAGTTTTGTTTTGAGAGAATGCATTGTCATTTATTGAGTTGAGGATGATTAGGGAGAAGGGAACAGATTTGGGAGCGAAAAAATCAGTGGGTGCGTAAGTTTAATGCTCAGGAGAGAGGTTTATACTAGAAATATGAATATATGAGCTTTTTACTAGTGGGAAGTACTTACAGGCCTGGGAAGGGGTGTTGTCAGCTGAGGAGAGGCATTTTCCAAGACATCACCTCATGTAGAGGTTGGATAAGGAGGAGCCTATAAAAGCGAATGAGGAGGAGTCAAAGAGAGGAGAAAAACAGCAATGAGGGTGGGAAATGGGTGAAGAAGGCTTGTCCCTGGTTCGAGGCTTCTAAGAGGTCAGATGAAATGAAGACGAGCAAATGGATAGTCCACTGCACTGACCATAAAGTGCCCACATCAGTGGAGTGATTACTGAGGAAGAGCAAAGGAGTAAGGAGAAGACAGGGTCAACAAGGCCATTTTTTGAAGTTATTCCTGGAAAGCAGATTACACGGGAGTAGCTGACGAAGGATGTGAGATCAAAGCCAGGCTTCTTTGTTTTTTGGTGAATGGAAACCACTGGCGTATAGTGTATGTTTTGGTAGAATTTTAGCCTGTAGCATGTGTGTTGGGTTGTGTGTGAGCTACTGTGCTGAGACTCAAACAAGACCCAAGTTGAATCTGCCCATAACAACCCAGAGCAGGTGGCTGTCACGGGACATCTGGAGGCCCAGCTGGCCTGGTGGCTCTGGTGTCCTCCTGAAGTCGGGATCTTAGGATTGTGCTTCTAGTGTATGTCAGTCATTGCTTTCTAGCCAATGGGGAAGGAAATCTGTGAAGATCACTTAAACAGCGAATACGTTTTCTCGTCGTTTCACTAGTCCAGGCTTAACCATGTGGCACAGTTCACAGTATTAACAGAGGATTGGAAGAGCACCCATGCAAACTGAAAATTTAAGGAAAGTGGTAAAGGAAAAGAAAGGTGTGGAAGATGGATTCTGGGAGAGTTGATTAGGGCCACAGACTGTGAGCTTTTTGTATGTCTCCTTGCCGTGAGCATTCTTGTACTTGGTACTTAGGAAGAGAGCTAGTGATTTTAAGTGATTGTTGAAATTAATCCTTTCCTTTCTGAAAGGACTTGTTTAAAACTTTGGATCATGCAATGCTGCTACCTTTCTCTTTTTTCCACTTATTTTTTCCTGACGCCTCAGTACTTTACATTATAAACATACAAAAAAAGAATGTAATGTTTACTTTGAAGATTTGCTTGAAAATGTATAATATAAAAGAGGAACTTTTTTTTTTTCATTTGACATTACTGTCTTTTCTGTTTGAGCTTGATTTTTACATACACTCTGGGCAGCTGACACATGCTGACTTGAGATGTGTTTATTCAACAGAGAGATTAACTGGTGAGGGTAAAAAAATACTGCTAAATAAAAAACATAGGTATAGTATTTAATTCATGACATAGATTGCTATTTGTAATGTCGGTACTCCCTTTTCAAATTATTAAGCATATCTTAGTATTTATTGTGAAGATAGGAACTAAAAAGTGGGTTTACTGTGGAGGGGTTTTTATTTTTGACATAATTCTGCATTATACTAATGAGTATATCATTTGCTCAAAGTATCACACTAACCTTTGCTTCATATTTTTACTGTAAAATTAGAATTGGAAGGGCACTTATGAGACAACCTGAGACATAATTTTTGAGGCTTACCATAATACCTAAAATAAGAAATTATTTTAAATGACTTACACCACTGCTTAGAGTACAAACCTGTTTAAAACCTAGTGGCGTGTCTATGCATATGGAGACAGGAAACAGCTGGAGGCAAGTTCTTTAGATATGATCATGTTCAGTTCTCTCATTTGGCAGATGTGGACCCTGAGATACAAAAAACTTAAAAGTGTCTTGACTAGTAAGCCATTAGAAGAGGGTGGTTTTATTTTAAAAGATTTTTAGAATTGCTATATATTAAGATCTGTTGTTTGAGTTCCTTATGAATTATGAGACAGAAAATTCATCTTTCAGTATTCCACAGAAATCAGAACAAGCCAGAGGAAGTATGTTAAGAATTAACCTGGGTGGGGGGGGGGGCAGAGGTGGAGTGCTGTCTGGCTCCCCTCTAGCTGTGACCAGACTTGTCCTGTTGAGGACAGATTCCATGTCACTGAGAAACTCCCATTGTAACTGTGGTTGCTAGTTCAAAGGAAGATAACACAGCTATGAGAAATCAAAGAACAAAGACATTTTACATGGAAGAATGCATAGATTCAGTAATTCCAAGAAGAAATCAGGACTCCTGTGTAGAGAAAAGGAGAAAGGGAATGTTATTAACTCATCCTTCCCAGAAATTAAACTATATATCCAACCAGGGCAAGAAATTCATTTTTCAAAGGCATATAATTGTTAGGACAGTAATGTCACTTGACAGTCTCCAGCTGAAAAAAAAAAATTGAATTGGAATAAAGCTGTAATCATTACAAGTCACCTTTACTTCTAGTTAAATGTTCATTTTGAACCATGGTGCCTGCCTCGTGGTAACCTGACAAGTCCTCTGTTAGCTGTGTGCCACAGGCCTGACTTTTGATTGTCAGCATCTCTCCATTCTTCTTCCTTTGCGTGCGCTTCTCTTCAGCCTTTTACATGCAGCGTCCTAGTTTTCTTGCCTAGGGAACGTAATTACACTGAGTGATGAGACTTTCCCTTCTCTGCTTGCAGAACAATCAACCATGACGACTGAATCAGGATCAGACTCAGAATCCAAGCCGGAGCAGGAGGCTGAGCCCCAAGAGGCAGCAGGTCCGCAGGGGCGTGCAGGGGCCCAGTCAGCTCCAGAGCCCAGCAGTGAGGAGCAACAACAGGTCCTCGAACAGTTTGAAGCTGCTGCAGCACACAGCACCCCCGTGAGGAAGGAGGTGAGCCCCGACACTAAGCTTCCTGCTCCCCTATACCTGCCAGCATCGTCCAGAAAACCAATTAAAGAATGAATGTTTACAGAGCCTTCCCGAGGTCTGGTTTGACCTTGGTCTCTCAGTATTAGCAGGCAATAGGAGGGATCATCATCTTGTCCCTCTTGTGGCGGCAGATGAAAATTTATGCTATTTTAGGGCCTTCAGTGAATGCCCTTCCACAACCTTGCTTGGTAACTCCTTCCTTAAAACACTTCAACTCACACTGAAATCTGGCCTACAGTTTGTGGCTTTATCTGGATTCACAGGCAGGGTAGACCCCACACTTAAAGTTTTAATTTATGCTGCTTTGTTTTCATGTGGAAAGATAAGTTTATTAGAAAAAAAGAGAAAGGAAAAGAAGGGGAAGGCCCTACATAGCCACAGGTGGGCATGAGATCAGCTGCTGCTTATGCTCCTGTCTTTCCTGAAGCCCAGTGGTGACAGAGCTATTTTGATTTTTCCCAGGAGTCACTGTGACCCCAATTGGCACCTCTTATAGTGGATGTTCAAGTAGCTGTCTTTCTTTTATCTGGGTACAGCTATGTTTTCAACTTTATTGCCTGGATATGTTCAAGTGATCACCTTATAGGAATATTTTTGTAACATGTTTTCATGCAAGAAGTAAAGCTTAAAATACAAAATAAAATCATGGTCTTTGAATGAATCCACATTTAAATTTCATTTAACTTAAAAGCTTGAATTTGTAATCAACATTTTAGAGTACTGACTCGTGTGGTAAGGAAATCTGGAGGTTCTTACAAACGGCTAAACTTTATAGGTTGAAAATGAATATGTGTGAAGCTAGAAATTCTAGAATATATTGAAAGACTTGAAAGCAGCATGTTAGTGTAATTGTTTGGTAGGTGTAACATATTATTATAACATTAAGTGATATATTTACAACCTGATCATTTTATTTCTTTTCCCTAGCACTCCAGGCCTCCAGGCCTCAGCTTTCTAAGATTCTTCTACTCTAAAGTTCTTTGGCCATACTAGGAGTCCAATTACATTAGCAGTAAAATTAAATAGATTTCACTGTTTAATGATGTTTAAAACATGGGCTTTGGCTGGATTTGAATTCTAGTTTATTCAGCTTCATAACCTTGAGAAATTTTCTGAAGACTCTGCTTCCATGCTTGTGTTCCTTTCTTCTCTCATGTACGAATGCAGGTAATAATATCTACTTCTCAGAGCTGCTCTAAGGATTGAATGAAATAGAGAACTTGCTAAAATGTTTGATACCGAATATTTTTTAATTCTAGTGCATTATATGACTATGAGTCTCATTTCCTTTGAGATACTTGCTCTGCTTTTCTATAGTTGTTTATAGATGTTTAGGATGCATACAAAAACCACACAGGTGAATTGGTGGTGGGAAGCCCACAGGGATTACAACTGAGATGGAAAAAGGCACAAAACGATGTCAAAATAAACTATTTTATTATTAAAAAAAACATATAATGGATTTATGTTTCGAATGTTGTGGAGTACTTGAAAAAGGAGTTCTATTCCCTTTGAATACTGGTCACTTAACATTCCTCTGGAATTGTCATATAAGTAACTCAGGGAGCTTATTCTGATAAGCTGGAAAAATAAAATATAATCTTACCTATTATATGGAAGAAATTAATTCCAGGTAAAATTTTAATAAAAATACAGTTTTTGTTGACTTTGCCTGTGATAAGATAAAAATGTAAATTAGAAGTACACATCTTATGTAAATTACAAAGCACTTGAAAATATGATTATTGACATAAAACTTCAAGATCAGCAAATGTCTCCTTACACTAACCTAAGGTTCAAATAAATGAGTTCTATGACTTGTTGTAGTCACTGTCTTAATGTTTTGATATGCAAAAACTAGTAGTCAAAATTAGACCAAGCTCCCCAGAGCAAATTTTCTTTTATCTACTTGTTTTAGCCAAGATTTGCTTTCGTAACTGTCTTGGCCTTTGAAGTTGATTGTTCATTTTATTCTTTGTGTCTTCTCTTGCAAATTGCAAGTCTGTTCTTAGGACTTTGTCCAGACTTCACCTTGAATCTTAGGCAAGGATACTTCCCTCCCCTTTGGTGATAGAGAAAAGGATTGTATTTGTAATCTTCTTGGTGGAAAACAAGATAGAAAATTCTGTGTAAAGACTGTAACCTATCCCTAAAATTTAAAAAAAGTCCTCTTCTCCCCCCTCCAAAAAAAAAAGCTGTGAGTATATCAGAGTATTATAAAATTGTGGAGGCTGATAAAACAAGAAAAATTGTAGTGACAAACTGTCAGTAATGTCTTTACTCTCAAGCCTAAGCACTTTTAGCTTGTGA